CCGCTGCACCAGCTCCACGTAGTCCTCGGAGCGCGCGTAGTACTCGTCGGGGCTCAGGGCTCCCCAGAAGTTGGACCACAGCTTCCCGTGGCGGGAGAGCATGGGCGCGATCACCTTCCTGTGGACAGGCGGAGGTGAGCGCCGGGCAGAGGCGAGCCCACGCCCAGGGAAGGAGGTGGGGACTCTTTGGGGGCCCTCCGGTCGAGCCAAGCAAGCAACCTGTTCTCCTCAATGAGGATGCGCAGGGTCTGAGGGTTGGTGATGACGGCGTCGGCGTCCAGGCTGAAGTAGAATTCACACTTGGGGTCTTGCCGACAACTGTCCCTGGAGGTGACAGACCAACGGACGGATGAGCTGAAATGGGAGCAGGTTGGGGGGAAGAGAGGACTGTAGGGTGGGGGAACTCCTCCACCCGCCGAGGAGAAAAGTGGGCAGATGCACCAGAAAGAGGAAAGGAGGGCAACTCGAAGGAGTGCAGGGTGGGGAGCTTCCGCCTTGGGACCCCTAGGTCCTCCCTGTGTGAGCGGGACAACGGAGGGCCAGCACGTGTGCTGGCTGGGAGGGCACTCGTGTGGAGGCCAAGGAAAGGCTGGACGCCGAGTGGAGAGGGAAGGCGGGCACAGTGGGAGGCGGGCACCCCCCTTCACTCCCACCTGTCCTCCCCATCCTCACTCACATGGCCATGTCCCTGGCCTCGCCTGGGGTCAGGGCCTCCTCTGGCCCCACCAACTTCACAGCTGAGAAGTGGTCCTGGAGCTGGGGCCAAGAGTCCGCAATGTGGGGCTCATGGTACACCTCCTGGAGATGGGGGGAGGTACAGGGGGACTGAGAGGGCAGAAGAGATGGCGCCTGAGGGGCAGGAGCAGGGCAGGTGGTGAGTGGAAAGGTAGGAAGGAGTCGGGTCGGGGGCGGGAGTTCTGACCAGGGCAGTGGCCCTGGGGAGGGCCCACAAGGGACGGGCTGCCAGGGTGTCTCACATTGTTATGCAGGAAAAGGGCGACCCTGTCCGGGGGGTAGTCCAGGAGCAGCAGCCGCTGCAGGAAGCGGGGCAGGAACGGGGTAGGTTGCTCTACAAACACAGCCAGAAGCACCCGGGGGGGAGGCTGGAAGAGAAGACACGACAGGGCTCAGAGGAAAGCCTGGGCGCCCCACCTGGTCTGCCCTCCACACTCTGCCAGGTTTGGGGCCCCCAGGAGCTTTGTCCCCTCACTGTTCCCCAGCTTGGTCTCCCCATCCCCGTTGCTTCAGTGCGCTCTCCTGCCCCACCCTGGAACCCCTCCTCACCTGCCCCCCCGGGAGTGTCCTCCGGTCCAGGTCGCAGTACCCACAACCTCCCTCGGGAGTCCAGCCTTTGGGAACGTAGTTTCCCAGGTAATTCAGCTGGAGCTGTTGGGAGAGATGGTGAGAAGCCGTGGGGGGCAGAGGAGGTGAGGAGGGCCGGGGGTGAGGGAGGTCAGGAAGACAGGCAAGGGACACTGAACCTCTCCCAGCACCTCCACTGCTGGGGCCGGGAGGATCAACTGCTTAGAAGGGCTGGAGGGGCTGGGCCAGGGGCCGTGGGGCTAGGACTGACTGGGGCAGAGGCTGGGGCCAAGGGTGTGGGCCATTGGGCACCTTAGTGGGACCGTTCCCATGGACCACAACAGGAAGCGTGTCGTAGGCCACATTCCGGATACGCACACGATTCCGATCAAACTTTAAAACCACCTCATCTGGGGAAGAAAAGCCAGGCTTTAGACTCCCTTTCTTTTGAAGCTGCCAAGCAACACGTGCTTCTAGATATCAGGGGAAGCCAGTTTCTCTAGAGGACGAGGGACCGTGGCTCTGTGGGGGGAAGGGATGGGCTACCCTCTCTCTGAGGGGACAGACCAGGCAGCTGTCCCCTGGGGGGAGCTCCACCCCACCACCTATATGACCCGGGCAAGTCACTAGCCCCTCAGAGAGGCAGTTTCCTCATTTGTAACAGGTGGAAAAACAGAGACCCTCCTTTTGTAGGGCTGTTGTGTTAAAAGAAATCACAGAAGCACAGCCCTGGTCCAGCTTCGACGCTGTATAGTCATGCGTTCCTTAACGAGGATGCGTTCTGAGAAGTGCACGGTTACGTGATTTCATCGTTGTGCAAACATCACAGCGTGTCCTTACACAAACCTAGATGGGATAGCCTACCACACACCTAGGCTACATGGTACTGATCTTATGGGACCTCCGTCGTATATGCAGTCCGTCGTAGACTAAAACATCGTTATGCGGCACGTGACTGTACGTGTTCAATAAATGTTAGATATGAAGACTGCTGAGTTTATTACTACTAGCACAGTGCAACTTACTCTATCAGCCATGCAGATGTGTAATGAATTCAACGCAAAGGTGAGTTAAAGCCCACCTCAGTTCCCCCAGGAGCCCCTCCTAAATTCAGGACCCCCAGCAGCAGAGGCCTCTCTCACCGCCCCGCCCCCGCACCCCCATTGCCCTCTCCTCACCTAAAGCCCCATTGAGGTTCTGAAAGATCCGGGATTTATGATCCAGATTAAGGCTGAGTTTCTCCTGGATGGGATGAGATGGAGCAGTTAATTAAAGAAGGGGTAGGACATCACCTCGCACTCTTCCATCGTCCCCAAAGCCCTTTATGCCTTCTCTCCCATGCAGCCTGAGGCCCGCCCTCCCTCCTCCGCCCCTCTCCACCCTCAGTCCTGGGTCCAGGTAGAGTCGAGTATAGAACAGCTGATCATCATCATCATCCTTGTACTTCCACTGGCGGACGATTTGGTGGATAGTGGGGGCGAAGCCAATGAATCCTGTGGGGGGAGGAGAGGTGCGCAGTCCAAGACTCCCAGGGTCCCACCCACCGGTTCCCACTTCCTCTCCAGCCCTCAGGCACCTGGAACGCTCCCTGCCCCACCACTCTTGGCCCCTCTGCCTTGGGCACTCTGCCACTCACCACCAGAGTTGAGGAAGCGCTTCCCTGTGCCCACCTCAGGGTACTGCTCTGCCAGCCCCCACTCGGGCCAGCAGAAGCTCTCCGCAGAGAAGAGCAGGCGGCTGCCACTCTGGACGAACTTCTTCAGCAGCTCCGACGGGCTGCCAGCCAGAATCACATCGTAGCTGGGCGAGGAAGGGGAGGATGAACAGGACAGCCATGAGGGACCTCAGTATCCTCACCCCCGCCTTCTGCACGCCCCTCCCCTCTCCCCCCAGCCCCTTTACCTGTCCACAAACATGATGACCATATCCTCCCGGTCTGCATATTTCTCCATTTCTTTCTTTAGCCACCTGACCTTCTGTCCTCCACCAACCGTTCGGGCCACATCACCCCCTCGCCAATCCTCTCCCAGGCCTAGGGTCTACGGGGGAGACCCGCCATGCCAGGGAGGGGCTTAGCCGGTCAGGCCCTCCTGACCAGGCTCACCGTGGGGCCCCAGGCATCCAGCCCTTAGCCCACTCTTCCTGCTGTAACCCCCGCCGCAGCCCCTCCCCCCCCACCCCCGCCCAGGGCCCAAGAGGACGTCCTGCTCCTCACCCGCACAGTGTAGTTGAAGAACTCTGCTGACCGCAGGAAACGCCGGTATCCCTCCGTCTCGGCTGTGGCCACAGTGATCACCAGCAGCTTCTCTGTCACCAGCAGAGAATTGGCATTCGGGACCCGCTCGCCCAGCTCTCTGCCCCACGCACTCAGCTCACTGCAGGCCCCTTCCCCTCCCTGACTCTGCTCCTGTCCCTTTCCTCTTTTTTCCCATTCCCTCCTAAACTCTTCTCACCCAGAGAAACTTCGACCCCGTTGAGAACCGGATGGGAGTGACACCCAGGAATTCGGTGTCAGCAAGCACGAGGAGGCTGGAAACTTCGTTCAGGGTGGGGAGTGGGCGAGGGGCCACGTGATTCGGCCCCTAGGAGCGCGCCGGCCGTGGGAGAGGAGGGCCGCCCCTTCGAGGCCCCGACCCCCTGCGGGCCGGACCGGCGGACACGTCAGCCCGGCGCCCACTCGGCCCTCCCGCGCCCTCCTGGGGTCTCACCTGGGTTGACGGGGTCGCTGCCCCGGGGACGGTCGGAGGCCGAGGCCGCAGGAGGCGGCGGCAGCAGCAGCAGCAGCAGCAGGAGCAGCAACAGGAGCCGGGGTCCCGCGCCCGAGGAGGCCATGGCGCGAGGCGGGCCAAGACGGCACCCGGCCGGCACTGCTCCGGCTGCGTGCCTGGATCCCAACTCCGGAGCGGGGCTCTGGGAAAGGGGGCCGGGGCTGCCGTGCGGCCGGCTGCGAGGAGGAGCAGGGCAGGGGCTCCGCCCTGGAAAAAAGGCGTAGCCAGAGGCTACAGAAAACTCTAGATGCCGGCGCCCCAGACAAGGCGAGGATTGTCCCGGGGCGCGGGCGCGCGGAGCGAGCGGAGGGGACGCCCGGCCGGACGCGGGGGAGGGGCGGGGCGGGGGCTCGGGCTGGCGATCAGGCGCCGAGGACTTTGGTCAGAGCCAGCCGGGCCCACTGGCCGCCTGACACATGAGGAAACTGCAACCCGGGGAGGGGAAGTGGCCCCTAGTGGGTCCGGCAGGACTCGGAGGCGGGTCTTTGCCGCAGCCCGGCCCAGAGCGGCTGGGCGGAAGACAGGAGAACGAGGCGGCGGCAGCGGAGCCGGGATGAGTGGAGGAGCGGGCGGCGGGAGGGGGAGGGCCGAGGGGTCTGCGGCCCCAGGGGCAGCCTGGGGTTGAGGTTTCGGCAGGGGCTCGCCGGGGACGCCTCGGATTGCCCGCTCAAGCCTGCCCACTTTCTTTGGTAGTCCGGCCCATCATTTCTGCTGCCCCGGGGAGAAGCTCCAGGGGCTGCCTTTGTGAAGATGGCTTTTTCAGAATGCCCAAAGGAAAATGACATTTCTCGAAAGACCACTGGCATCACCTCTTTAAAATAACCCATTTCGGGAGTCCTGCAAAGTACACCACCACACTGAGGCCGGAAGTAGTTTTGCCCCTATTAAATATGGCGGAAAGCTTTCTCGTCTCCAAGGGAACATCACAGAAGGAATCAAAGCCGTAGGACTATTCTGCGCACGCGCAAAAAGTACACGCTGCCGGAAGTGATGGTGCCCCTACCAAAGCGGGAGGTTTAGCACGCGTGCGCAAAAAGGCTCTTCCGTCAGCTGTATTGTGGATAATGGTGGAGAAGAAAACCTCGGGTACGTGAGCCCCTGACGCTTGGCCCCCTTCCTGCTCCCAAATCCGAACCTGGCCTAGGATTTCCTCACCCTGTTATTAGTCTCAAATCTCTTTCCCGGCCCTCGGGTTCTGGCGTCGAGGCAGCCCCCTGAGACCATGCATCCGTTCACCCTTTATTGGAGCCTGCTCCAAGCCGGGCGCTGGGGATAGAGAAAGGAAAAAGATCATTATTATCTAATAACTGGCTTTCTGGGAGGGGGACAGACACGCATACCCAGACATTGCATTTCAGAGTGATGCGTGCTGTGGCAGAGGGATGCAAAGCGCCAGGGCGCAGGAAGGAGTGGCGTCAGGGAAGCTTCTGGCTTTGGGGAACCCAGCTTCTGGGAAGGAAGGGCCCGGGAAGGCTTGGCGGGGAAGAAAACTCTTGGATTGAGTCTTGAAAGTTGAGTTATGGTTTCGCTCTGTGCAGGTGCGCGGGAACTCCTTCCCGGCAGCGGGAGCCGCACGTGCAAAGGCAGGAAAGCAAGAAAAAGCAAGTCGCTTAGGAAGCCAAGTTCACAGTTCGGGGTTTGCAGAGCAATAGTAAGAGAGGCTGGAGGGCTGGGGAACAGTACACTTGAAAGGCGTTGTATACACTGCCGGAGAGTTTGAACTTGATGGAGAGGGCAGTGGAGAGCCACCATGGGCTTTTAAGGCAGAGGAGTGACGGAAACAAATTTATCTTTTAGAAAGGCAGTTCTGGCTGTGCCGAGGATGGATTGGACGGACTAGAGCCGCGCTGTCCAATAGAACTTTCTGGGATAATAGGAATGTTCTTAATTAGCACTGTTCAGTATGGCACCCATTACCCACAAGTGGCTACTGAGCACTTGAAATGTAGCTAGTGTGACCCAGGAACAGAATTTAAAATTTTATTTAATCTGAACTGATTACATGTAAAGTTAAACTTAAATAACCACATGCGACTGGTGGCTGCTTTGTTGTGTAGCACAGGTCTAGAGGTTGGAAGGCCAGTTAGGAAGCTGTTGAACAGTCCACATAAAAACAGATGCGGGTCGGAACACTCTGCCTGAGTGGTTTGTAATCCATCCAGTCTGTCACTCCTTAAAACCCCGCAGTGGGGCTCCCCCCTCACCGTGAAATCCCCCGATCCAAATTCCGTTAGATACTTAAAGGTAAGACTCCTAATGGTCTGCCTGACTTCATATCCCCCACCCCCACCCCACTCACACACACTCACACATGCCTTATCTCCCAGCCATAGAGGACTTCTTTCAACGTATTGGAGGCACCACAGTCTCCCATCCAGGCCATCTCTCAGGCTGGTCCCAAGGCCTGAGACACCCTCCCCTCTCCCCCACCAGGCTAACCTGTATTCCTCAGTCAGGCCCTAACCTAGACCAACTTTCCTCTGGGAAATCTTCCTGACTGCCCAGATTAGGTGTCTGTGTCATGTGCTCTGTAGCATTTTGCGCTTCCCTGTGCTTGCTGGCTTGATCAGGTGTGTTGCCCACCAGGCTGTCGGCTCTGGTTGTGTTCCCAGCACTGAGGGCACTGCCAGGCACCAGAAAGGGAGGCAGTGTGGTGCAGTGAGCACGAGCATGGATTTTGATGCTCAGCAGTTCTGGGTTTGAATTCTGACCCAGCTACTTACCAGCTATGTGAACTTTAGACACATTCTTACCCTCTGAACTTCAGTAGGCGGGATGATAATGATACTTATCTCGTGGGGTTGTTGTGGAGGTTAAAAGACTCTACTTATGCAAAGAGCTTGGTATAGTGCCTGGCTCAGAGTACACACCCAGTATTAGCTACTGGCGCTAATGCTATTATTATGGTTATAAGCACTCAATAAATATTTGTCTAATGAATAAAGAGATATCTTCTGTAGAATTATCAGAACCCCGTGAACAGCTGATATGGTAATGAAGAGAGGTTTGATATAACTCATAGGTTTCTGGTTTGGATGTCTGCATAGAAGGTTCCATTCACTTAAAGAGAGTCTACAGGAGGAGAAGCAGAATTGGACGGGAAGAGTTTTAATTTTGAGTTGATGGGGTCAGTAGGTGATTTCCTGCAGTTGAACAGCCAGTTCTGGAGCTCAGGAGAAGGCTCTGGATTGAGAGCATCACTTTCAGAGTCATTGGCTTGTGGGTCATAGTTAGAGCGTTTGTGTTTGGATTAGAAATCCTGGGAAGAGCGTATAGACTGGGAAAGACAACAGGGACAGCCATCTCCTTAGAGCAGAGAGAGTAGCCAAGATGGGAGGCTGAGAAGCGTAGCGAGAGAAGGAAAACTTGGAGTCATGTCAAGGAAGTAAGTGAATGTCCTCTTTCCATCCAAGGGAGATAGTCAACACAGGCTCAGGATGTAGAGAACTCAAGTCAAAGGAGGATTCTAGAAATGCACACTGGGTTTGGGCTTAGGAGGCATTGGTATCCTGAGCGTAAGTGGTTCCTATTGAATAGGAGTTGGTTCACTGGGGTTGAGGAGCAGACAGGAGGTGAGGAAATGAAACATCTCATGGACCACCCTCTCAAGGAGTAGCTGTAAAGTTGGGTAGACATGTGAGAGTTTAGCAGGTTTTTGCATTGAAGGGAAAGTACCAGTTGAGGAGAAGGGGTTGAAGATGCAAGAGGGAGGAGAAGACTCGAGCTAGAGGTGAAGGGTTGGGTTTAGCAGTGGGACTTGGTGGGGAGGTGGCTGCCCATGCAATTATGTTTGAGGGTGGGCTGAAGGATAAGCATCTGCATGTGGGTGGCCTGTTTCCTTTGAGGCGAGAAATGAGATTGCTGAGCCTGAAGACCAAGTATATTACGGTCCCAGTGGAGCCTGGAAGCAGTGAGTGTACAGTGGTTGGTATGGTTGTGTGATTTCTGCCAGCAGTGGGAGGTCTCCAGGATGCATTTCATTGGCTGGGTCTGGGGTTGCGAGGAAAGGCTGGGGCCAAAGGACTTGAGAACAGGCGTGAATGACTGAAATGGCAGTCTTAACTGAGAAGGACGCAAACCAGAGGAGCTGATACAGATATAGGAGCCAAGGACTTGGTGAGTAGGATGGGATGAGAGAGCTGAGGCTCCCCACCCTCTGGACATCTTGCACACCCTGCCCGCAGTCCAGGCCGCCCCAGCTCCTCTCCTCTGTGCCCGCCATAACTTTGCTGGCCCCGCCCATCTAGTTCGCTCCCAGGACCCTGGACAGCGGCGGGTGCTGGACCGCGCGGCCCGGCAGCGCCGCATCAACAGGCAGCTTGAGGCCTTGGAGAATGACAACTTCCAGGACGACCCCCACGCAGGACTCCCCCAGCTCGGCAAGAGGCTGCCTCAGTTTGATGATGATGCAGACACCGGTGAGGCAGTGGAGGAGGAAAGAGGGGCCGGGGAGACAGGCTGAAGGAAGGGGGAAGGGTCTGCCCAGGTCAGGGTTGTAGAAGGACATCGAGCTGGGGGCAAATGACCCAGGAACTCCTCGGGCTCTGCCAGGGACTGGCTCCTGTGACTGCGAGCCAGCCGCTTGCCCCTTGCTATGCCTCAGTTTCCTCTCATGTATGTAGAATAAAGAAGATGGAGCAGATGAGCTCTAAGATCCTTTCCAGCTCTGACATCAAAGCTCTGGTTTAAGGAGTTTGGAGATATAGGAAGGCTGGGATTGGAGAAGGGGGGGAGGGGAAAGGATGGTAGAGAGAGGCCGACTCAGAAGCCAGATGAGTATGTGGGCAGGGAATGGACACGTGGGGATTGGGAAGGACAGGACAGAGAAAGATGGTGTCTTTCTTGGCACATGCCAAGTGACCGATTGCTGTTGACCTCTAGGAAAGAAAAAGAAGAAAACTCGAGGTGATCATTTTAAACTTCGTTTCCGAAAAAACTTTCAGGCCTTGCTGGAGGAGCAGGTGAGAGACGAGCTGGCTGGGGAGGACCCCAAAGGGAAGGGATGAGCCCGCAGAGGTCCTGTCTTCAGCGGGTGTCTGCTACCTGGGTGAGCGGAGGCATCATGGGGCCTGCCCTGTTGTCTCTGCAGAACCTGAGCGTGGCCGAGGGCCCCAACTACCTGACAGCCTGTGCAGGGCCCCCATCCCGTCCCCAGCGTCCCTTCTGTGCTGTCTGCGGCTTCCCCTCCCCTTACACCTGTGTCAGCTGTGGCGCCCGGTACTGCACTGTGCGCTGTCTGGGCACCCACCAGGAGACCAGGTGAGCTTGGAACCTCCCCTGGGTCCACACCCTCTCGCTCCTAGCCCCACAGCCTCCCAAACCCCTCTCCTCCTCCTGGGCTTCCTCTGCCTGCAGGTGCCTGAAGTGGACTGTGTGAGCCTGAGCATCCTCAGAGGAAGGCCCTGCGTGCGTGACCCCGGCTTTGGAGAGGGCCTCAGCAAAAGGAGAGGTGCTCCTCCTGGACCAAGAGAGGAGCCGTTCACTTGCCCAACCAAGCAAGTCTTATCCTTTAGGGAAGACTAGTCTCACTCCAGGGGACTGTGGCAGGGAAGTGGGCCGAGCCCTCACAGTGCTGTTGTAATAAAAGGTCTCATGCAAGGAGGAGCCACCTGTCTGGTCACATGATGTTTTGGGGGCAATGGGCCGCTTGTCTCTCCTACTCACTGCTCTGTGTCTTGTCCTCCTACCTGTCAATCACCACTCCCACCGTCTGCCTCTCTTGGGCCCTGACCGTGACAGAGTTTGTCCCATTATCCTGCCATCCCCACGTCTCTTGGCTGCTGCTTTATGTCACCTTTTTGGTTATTGATTTAGTCATTAGTTTTTGCTTTTTGTTTCTCTAGTTCCTCTGAGCATCTTTAGGGTACAGCCAGGTCCCAGGACTGGTGACAGGGAAGTGGAGTGAGGGTTGGGGACAGGGATGCAGAATGATCCTTCGTCCTCTGGTACTTAACCAGACAGGAGAGCTCAGCCTTGTCCTTGGTGCCGCCTGGCTGAAGGATGACTTGTCCGTAGGAAGCTCTCGTTATCAGGGGCCGTGGTACCTGAGCAGCAGAGAAGTCCCGGAAATTTCTGGGCAGCATGGGGGAAGTGGTGGTATGGAGGCTCCTGATCTTGGTGGCCCTGGATGCTGCAGCTCTTGTGTGGTGCTGGAGCCCCTTCCATCCACGCCTTCTCTAAGGGGACTGCAAGCTGTAAGCTCGGAAGCTCCTTGGAGCTGCTGTCATTGGGCCAGTACCGTGTTGAGCAGATGACCTCAAGAAGATATTAATGAGATGCAGCCAAGTCAGGGTTAGGAACCTCTTCGGCTCTCTCCCCACCTTTGGGGACTTTCCTGGGGCTGGCCCAAATGTTTCCCCCGTCTTCCTAAGGAACTGCTTGCCCTTTCTCTGGAGACTTGCGGTTGGGCAAGTGGTGTTGGTGACAGCTTTGTGTTGAGTGGTGGTGAGGACAGGGTTAAGAGACAGTCCTAAGTGTGATGGTTTTAAAGATGGCTGTAAATTTTTTGACCATCCTTCCATCAAAAGTTCCCCTTCCCCTGGGATCTGGGCAGCCTTATGACTGCTTCGACCAGTAGGCAGTGGCAAAAGTGAGAGCATGTGACATTTAAGGCTAGGTCGTAAAAGGCAGCGCAGCTTCTGCCTGGTCCTGAGAACACTTGCTTTTGGTGCCCTCAGCCATCATGTGAGAAACCCACCATCCGGAAGCCGCTACACTGTGAGGCAGCCCCGGCTGCAGGGGGAGGCCACATGCAGGTGCCCCTGTCCGCAGGCCCAGCTGAGCCAGGCCTTCAAGCCATCCCGGCCCAGGCTCCCATCATGGGAGTGGAGATGCTGCCTAACGATTCCAGCCCCAGGCATCAAGTCACCCTCAGCCATCTGCGGCTCCCTCGCTGTGTCCTCAACATGCCAGAGCAGACACAAGCCGTCTCTGCCGGGCCCTGCCTAGATTCCTGACCTGCAGGGCCGTGCGCTTAGTAAGATGCTCCTGCCCTGAGTCTTGGGATGCTTCATTACGCAGCAGTAGGCCCTGTGACATCAGGAAGCCAGTTTGCTGGCTGCTAAGCCAGGGCCTAGGTTTATGATGTCTCTGTCTCAGAAAGGAAACTTCCTTGGCCCCTGACCTTTCTACCTTCCTCTCCACCAAGAAGTACGCTCAAGAAGGAAACTAGAAGACAAGACTACTTCTTGGCTGAGAAACACCGTTTGTGCTTCGCTGATCACCTGCATCGAATTCCTGTCAGATTTCCACTGAGTCAGCACAGCCTCTGTGGTTTGTTTCCTAAGTTCACTGACTTTGTTTCATATTTTGTTGTTATCAAAAGAATCACGTAGGGGCCGGCCCTGTGGCTAAGTTCACACGCTCCGCTTTGATGGCCCAGGGTTTCGCCGGTTCGGATCCTGGGCGCGAACAGGGCACCGCTCGTCAGGCCATGTTGAGGTGGCGTCCCAAATGCCACAACTATAGGACCCACAACTAAAATATACAACTATGTACCAGAGGGCTTTGGGGAGAAAAAGGAAAAATAAAATCTTAAAAAAAAAAAAAGCATCACATAGGTTCTGCTCGGTGTAAGATTTGTCTCCTGGGTGACACGCTCGGCCTTCCCCAACTGACCTCGATAGGACAGAGCCAGACTCCAAGGGCCTCCCGTTGCCCCGAGACTGACAGGCTTCATAAGCCACCCGTTGACGTTTTCCAGGAAGGATCTCCAGACCCCCATTTAAAACCATAACTCCTCAAGGAAAGCCTTGACCGATTTCTGCCAGCTTCCTGTGTAATCATGGAGATTTGGTCCCCACCCCACTTGGACACCCAGGTCTCTGGGAAATCTACACTGTGCCCAAAGCTTCCAGAGGCTAGACCTGGTGTGATGGGGCAGCACAGCCCCGTCCTGGGTCCATAGCAGGCAGGAGAGGTTCATGCTAGGACCTGGAAGCCTGGCGGAGTGGGGCTCCCGCCTGAAGACCTCAATGGGCATTAAATTGAATAGCCGTGAATTAGTTTGGAGAGCCAGGAATTCTGGAACACAGGCCGGTGATGTCTTCAGTCTTGGACAAATCGTGGTCCCAGTCCTTACAAACTGTGCAGCTCACTTCCCCTCCCTGACTCTCTCAGGGCCCCCTCCCAGCATCGTGAGGACCACATGAAGCTGCGCCTGGCCCAGTGCCTGCGTCTGGTAAGTCCTCAGTGAGCGACAGCTGTTGACCTCATTGCCCAGGACCTAGAGCAGTTTGTTGTCGAGCTTTTTCACGCCAGTTCCCTCAGAGACCGGAGTCCTCCTCCCAGCACCTTGCCCCTGTGTGGTAACCAGCTGTTTGCATTCCTGTTTGCCCCCAGCTTGTGAGTGCCTCAAGGGCAGGCACCATGTCTTGGTGTTCTAGCTTCTAGCAAAGAAGAAAATAAAAAGGGTGAGTGTGTCAGTAGCCCTTTATGGCCACGTGACCACACATGACAGACAAAGAAATGGGAGCATAACCAAGTGACCATATGAAGGCACGTACTTCAATGCTCGAAGTGAATCCTGGCTCAGGTTAGTTTTCCAGAAAGGGGGAGAGGTGAGCAGAGGCAGGCTGGCAAGGAGGCAGCGCTGCAGGTGGGCAGAGGGACAAGTTGGGTTGGAGATGCCTGGGGGGGGGGCGTCAGGAGTTGTAGTTGACTTTTGTCCCTCACCGTGGGGGACACAGGCATCCCTGCAGAGCTTTCCCGCCTTTCAGAATTGTGCGACACTTTTTAAGGAGTGTGTCTCATTTTGGAGAGAGAAACCACCATCGGTGTGCTAACGAAGTGGGTTACACCAAGGGCCCGCCATGAAACACGCTTCCCGCACTCTCCTGCAGTCCCTTCCACGTGGGCTTTGGACTTGGCCATGGGACATCCATAAACCGTACGAAGGCAGAGTGTCAGGCAGGGTAGGATATACAGATTTTTGCAGACCTGGCCATGGACCCTTTATGTAGAGAACAGCTCAAAAAACACAGTGTTTCTTGGTGGAGCCCAGTAGGTGGGCCCTGATGGGAGGGTGTGTCCAGGGCCGGTGAGCAGTGCAGTGTGCTGGGAGAGGACCACTGTATGGCGGAGGGGTAAGAAATGGGGGTAGAAAGGTGGGGTGGGGCCAGGCAGTGTGTCAGAGTCTCAATTGTCTTGGGCTTTTTTTCTCCTCCAGTAGAGGAATGTGGAAGGGACTAGAAAGATGGAATGAGATGCCCAATTAGGGGAATCCTGTGACAAATCAGGGCAGGAAAGGATGAGGGCCTGACCCAGGACCAGGCAGTGGAGAAGGCAGAGAAGGAGGTGGATGTGAAAAACACTGTGGAGGGAAGAGTGGTCAGATTTGGCAGCTGAGGGGAAGTGGAAATGAAGGGTGGAGAAATGAAAGGAGAAGCCACAGATGATTGAGATTGTCAGCCTGCGACTGAGAGGTTGGCAATGCTGGTAACAGGAATGACAGGAACTGTGGCTTTGGGGGAAAGTGAGGAATTTGATGAATTTATCCAGCCTGGTGAGAAGACACCAGGGGGTACATGTACTTCTGAAGCTTGGGAGAGAGAGCTCAGTTAGAAAGCCGAGTTAGGGGTCTCTACATCCCAGGGGAGATGGCCTGATGGTGGGACGCTGGTGGACGGATGGCCTGAAAGAGAAAGGCGAGGGCACTGAGGTCAGAAGCCAGGCCGCCCCCAAGTGACAGGTCAGCATGGGCAACGCTGCAACAGACAGGAACCAGGATAGGGCCCGAGTCGCCTCCTTCCATTGGACATCTGGCTTCTTTTCTTGTGGCCTCATTTTCCTGTCTCATGTGGGTACCAGCTCTGCTCAGTGCCCACTGGGCATGTGCCAAGCCTGCCCATGATCCAGTGCCATGTCTGAGCTGGGCAACATCCAGTCACACACACCTCAGCGATATGCAAGCCTCTGTGAACAGAACTTCAGAGCCTTTTCTGGAAGCTACTGAACCTTCCCCAGAAAAATCTACATGCATCAGACCCGGCTGATTTGACACAGTTTCAAAGGACTTGCCAATTTCTAATGCCGGCTCTCAGGTAAAGAAACCGCTCTAGACCAACTGTCTCCTTGTACAGCGGTGAGAAAGGTCAGGAATAAAGGAGTGACTTGTTATGATCTCAGGCTGGCCAGGGACTATCTGCTATTTTCAGTTTCCTAGAGCTGAGTCTTGCCGGATCTGCTCCTGGATGACTCTTACCAGTAACTAAAACAGAGCCATACTCTTGAAGTCACTCGCCTCCTCTCTTGCTGGATAAGACAGTTCAAAGGCAGCGGAGACATGTGACAGTCTGGGGTCCAAGACCTGAGATGGCCCTGGGCGCCGCCCCAGCCACCCTTGCTTGGCCAGCCCCTTTATGACGCCCTCAACCCCTGGACAGTTCACAATACAAATTTATTTATGTATGTATTTATATAGAATACAAACACTCGGGGACAGCTCGGCCCCCTTAACCACCCAGAGCCTAGACTCAGAAGAAAAAGAGGGGTCCGACCTTAGGAGTCCGAGGTGAGTTCTCAGGAGACGGGTTCTTGGCCAAACGCAGGACGCGTGTCCGGGGCTGAGCTCCCATAGGAGAGACGGGACCCGCGGTGCGGCCACAGCTGGGCATGGCTTCCGAGCACGGGGCGGGGCCTGGGGCGCTGTCTGCCCCTGAGGTTGTTACAAGGAGCGTGGGCCGGTGCCTGCGGCCCGGGTTCCGGGGACCCCTCTCCGCTGGGGGCAGTGGGAAGGGAATGGGGTCCACAGGCCAGGCCTCCTACACGTAAGCGTTTTTTCCGTATTTGCCAAAGCTGCTGTCTTCTTCATCCGCGGCCGCGGGGGACAGGCGGGCAGCGAGGCTGGCGGAGCGCAGCGCGGAGGCCTTGTAGGGAGGCCGGGCCCTGGAGGGGAGGGGGCCTAGTCAGAGGGAGGGGCGGCCCTCGCGTGTCCCCCGCCCCCGCCGCTCCGCCCTCCCTTACCTGGCGGCGGGGTCCTCGTCGGGGGCGCAGCAGCAGTGAGCGCAGAGGCAGGAGCCGCCCAGGATGGAGAGCAGCGAGGCGCTCCAGCCCAGGTAGAGGGCGGGGCCCAGCTCGTACCTGGGGACACGGACGGCCATGGGGCAGCGCTAGCTCGGGGACCGGGCCGAGTCCCACCCACCGCCCCCAAGGGTGAGGCTCCCACACTCACTTGGTTCCTTGATACGAGGGGTTGAAGAAGTCCCGGGTGATGTTGAAGGCGTACCAGGAGATGGCCACCATGCCGCAGACACCTGGGGGAGGGAGAGGAGGCCCGAACCAGCGCCCTCGGCCCGGCGGAGGGAGGGGCAGCCCAGAAGCAGGACGCAGGGCAGCAAGTCCCAGGGCGAGTTTCCTTCGATCCCTTTCTTTGCCCCTCCCCGGTTCATGACCCTCTGTTTCCTAGGGTCCACTGTAAGCTTCTTGACCCAGCACCCAGGACCCAACCGCAGCCCACCCTTCTCGTCTAGTCTCCCACACTCTGCTCCTCAGTTCCCCTCCCCTATCTTTATCCCTGACCTGCCTTGTTCATTCCTACCTCTAGCGCCTTGATAACTTAAAATCCACCCCATGGGAGTCCCACCCATCTTCCAAAGCCCAAGCAGTCTTCCCGGCCCCCCACCCCCACCCTGCCTGCCCTGATGCCTCTTCCTTTGGCCGCCCAAAGCCCTCAGAGCCTGCGACAGGCCTTTGCCACTCAGTGCATGAAGGCCTGAAGCCAGCCAGACCCCTGGACTGCAGGACCAGCCTCGCTACTCGCTGGGGACTTGTCCTCCAGTAAGCCACCTGACCTTTCTGAGCCCGTTTCCACATCTGAAGAATGGGACAAGACCCACCCCACCTCGATATGAGGTGACGTGTGCAGAAACGTTTTAGCAAATTGAAAAGGGATGGCAAGCCACGTGGTACTGTTATTGCGCGCAGTGTGCATGTGTGTGTGTGCATCCTGACTCCTGTCTTCCCAGCCAGGCTGTGAGCTCTGGAGACACTCACGCTCACCTTTGGAGTCCCTCCCACACCTCGCTTACGCCTGGCTCCTAGTGGGCGCTCAAGAAACATTGCTGATGGGCTGATTTGTAGCCAAAGGATTTGGTGAATGTGGGTGAGGCTGATGTAAGCAGGGAGAGAGGGAGAGCTGAGCCTGGGAGGCAAGTGTCAATGCAAAGGGGAAAGTGAGACAAGTGCCAGGAGTGGGGAGCTGGAGATGACAGAGAACCCCGGGGTCTGTTGCCCCCCAACCCCCCACCACAACACAGGGCCCACCATCACCTTCCCCCAATTACCAGCCAGTATGTGTAGGGCCCCTGCGGTGGCCGCCAGCTTGGCTTTCCTGGAGAGCTCGATGCTGCCAATGTTTGTGCAGCGCAGCCCCAGCATGCCCAGGAAGAGGCCCAGGAAGCCCAGGAGGATGCCGGTGATCATGAGCGCCCGGCAGGCCTGGATGTACCCTGAGGAGGTGGGGTGCAGCCATTGGTCCCTGATCCAGCCCCTCCCCCTCCATCTCCCCTCTCCCTCCACAGCAGAGTGAGCCCCTTCCAGCCCCTGCTCAGGCCTCAGCCCCTAAAAGCCCTCCAGTCCTCTCCTTCCGCTTGGGGCTCCATCCAGCCTACAGGCTGAGGGGTCACACCCCTCTCCTTCCCAGAAGCTAGTCAGTCCCAAGGAGGCTCAGCCCCTCCCGCCCCACCCCTGTGAGCCCAGCGCACTTCACCTCTACCTCCACCTGTTACAGGGCTTCTCCGTGGCACTACTGACCCGCCGGCTGGATGACGCTTTGTTCTGGGGGCCGTCCCGTGCATTGTAGGATGTTTAGCAGCATCCTTGGCCTCTACCCACTAGAAGTCAGTAGCGATCCCCCCAGGCGGGACAATCTAAATGTCTAGACATCGTCAACCCCCTGGGGGCAAAATCGCCCGTGTGAGAACCACTGCTCTGTTAGATGATGACCACACTCTGCCGTGTATCACAGAGACGGCCCCTGAGCTCCTCCTGCCCCTTCCCCACACCCTGCCTCCTCTCCAGGTGCCACTGAGTGCCTAGCAGAGTGCCAAGCATCCTGAATTAAGCTTCCTCCTTGGAATGACCAATAGGGGGCAGCAGTGGCCTATGGGTCACTGGGTTGAGGGCAGTTTCTGATCCAGGAGGTGGGATACCTGGGCCCAGGACCAATCCAAGTCAGTCTAGCTCATGTGCTTTCAGTGCCTCAGTTTCCCCTTTCTCAAAGCTGGAGGCTGGCTCCCTTCCCCCTCCTCTTTGATAGTTGCCAAGTGCTCCCAAGGACCTTGCACCCCTTTCCCGGGTGGGGCAGTGCCGTTGGTGCTGAAGGGGAAAGGCTGGGTCCCTGCCAGGAGGATGTGAAGTGGCCCGGAGTTGGGGGGTAGATAGGAGGGGGGACAAAGTTCTCTGGGAGCCCTTTTTCACTGCCAGCCACTCCCTCCAGATTTCCCGCCTCTCCCCCCTGCTGCATATCCTTCCCCACCCATCCATCCGCCCACCTGCACCTGGGCAGACCCCCTCCGAAACCCCAGGTGGTTCCGGCAGACAAAGGGCAATTATTAACAGCAGGGGCTGAGCGGTGGGGGTGATTCAGTGCCTGTCAGGACCCCTGTCAGGCCCACATCAGCCTTGGGAGAATCCCTGGCCCTGGACTCAGACACACGAGTCCGGACTCCAGCCCCTCCACCAGCTGTGCGGCTCTGGGCAGGTCAAGCTGACCCTGCAGTTTTGCAGCTTCGCTAAGATGAGGTTGCTAACACCCCTGACAGCAGGGCCCTTGTAAACAACATGGAAACGGGGTGTGGGGAGTGCCTGGCATAATGCCGGGACCCCGGATGACTCTCAGCGCTGGGTGGCTGCCCTCTCTGCCCTTCCCCCTCAAGCACGTTCCTGCACCCCCATCTTCCATGCACACCCATGTCCTCTCTCAGGCTAAGGGCAGCAGTTCCAAAAGGGGCCTTCTCAAGTGGGCAGGCTCACAGCAAAGGCCCGTCCTCATCCCACGGTGTGGCTGAGGAATAAGTGAAGTGGAGATGGCCAGGGCTGCTGAGCTGGCTGCCTCCAATGTCCCTGCTGGCCACCCAGACTTCCGGGCTTCTGGCCCAGATCGTACTCAGCTTCTGTAGGGCTTTTGGGGGAGCTGCCTTGCTAACAGTCGTCCTGGAGAGACGGATGAAAGCATGAAGCCCCGGCACTGGGAATAGTGGGAATAGATCCTGGGAATAGTGGAGGCACGGGACCCGCCCGGAACCCCTAACTGCTCAGAGCATCTTTGACATTCATGGGGGCAGTTTTCTGGAGTGTTGGCCTCCGGTCCTTCCCGCACCAGCTGGCACCTGCAGGCGGGACCTGGCAGAGCATGATGGCTCCGGGAGCACCCAGTGAGGGCGTGGGAGCTGCACCTCATGGGGTTCCTGGTCATCCCCTCTTGGCCCAGCCTGGGGCAGACTGAAGGCACACTGACCTGGGGGATGAGGGGGTGACACTCACAGGGTGAGCAGGAAGCAGGAAGATGCGACAGCCACCAGGCAGAGCCTTCCTAGTAGGCTCCAGCCTGCTAGGAACCTCAAAACAATGCACAGCCCCGAGAACCCTGAGCACGGCCCGTACCTGAGTACGGAGACCTGCAGGAAGACGTCCTTTAAAACAGGCCTTCAGAACTCGCCGTGACAGCGAGACCGGTGCCCCAGTGGCAGCCTGGGGAGGCTACCGAGAGTTCTGTCTCAACCCGCAAGAATCCCAGATGGGGGCTCCTCTTCAGCCCACTCCCACCCCAAACTAAAATGCCAACACTGATTGAGCGCATCTAGATGCTAACATCATGCTAACAGTTTGCAGGTTTTCTCTCGTCTCCTCTTCACAACCACCCCGTGAACCAGGGCTGTTGTGACCGTATTTTACAAATGGGCCAAAAGAAGCTCTTTTATCACCCGCCCAAGGCAGAGAGCTAGTAAATGGCAGGCGCTGAATCCGGCAGTCTGACCCCCACGGCGCCTGCGCTTGGAACCACGAACACGGACTGTCACGTTAAGGCAGGGGGCCATGTGTGACGATGCCTCCACTGCAGTTCCAGGCATGGGGGTTATCCCCAGCACTCCTGGCTGGAGGAGCCCGAGTCCCTGAGCTTGAGCAGGCCTCCCTTATCCACATGGCGCCCCAGGCCGGGCCCCAGGCGGCACCCGCCCCACTCAGGGCTCTCTCCAACCTCCACCTCCCTCTGCCCCATGCACCTCTCCCCAGCCCCTACCAGAGAGGGCCAGCATGGACGGGAACTCCCAGCAGTTGTAGACTCCGAGGGAGTCGGTAGCACAGCTATACCAGAGGTTCTCGAAGATGGTGTTGGTGGTGATGACGTTCCCGTGCACGGTGGACACTCGCCAGTAGCTGTTTGGCAGGGTCACCCCCAGCATCAGCAGCCCCAGGGCTGCCATGAAGAAGCCGAAGGTCTCCACAGCCACCGACATGGTGGGACGCAGGCCCCGAGGGGGCGCCTGGGGCCCCAGAGAGGGGAAGGGGCTGAGCCCCGGAGGAAGGTGAAGCGGCTTTGGCTAAGGAGGGCTGTTAAGGCAGGCGGGAGAGAGAGGGAGGGGGAGGGCAGAAGGCCACCTGCAGCCTGGGCTTCGGCCTCGCTCTGGTCTGTTTCCTGGTTTCTGTCTCCTTCCCTCTCTGGCTCTCTCTGCTTCCCCGCAGGTCTGTCTCCCGGTTTCTGTCTCCTCTCTCTGGGTCTCTCTGCTTCCCCGCAGGTTGGTCGGAGGAATGAGCTAAGAGCGTGCGGCAGCTGTTGACGAGGCGATGGAGGGAATAAACGGAATGGGCCAAAAGTCCACCCCCTCCCCCCGGCCTCCGGGCTGCCCTGGGCTCCCGCCCCACGAGGGTGGGGGGAGTGACTAACGGATGCAGCCAAGGAGGGGCCCCCATGGGAGGCACTGGGAGTCAAGGGGAAGCGTCTGTCTCTGACTCGGCTTTCATTGGGAGCCAGAGAATGGAATAAGAGGGACAAGGAGAGAGAAGGTGACTGAGAGACAAGCGACAGGGACAGACAGAGAATGACCACAGACAGGCCCACCGTAGCTTTCAGTAGCGGACGGATCCAGGGAGCAGAGCCACCTCCTCTGGATGTCGGTGAGGACAAGTCTAGAGACTCACAGCCCTAGGGGTTGGCCATTGGAGTCTCCAAGGAGAACCGAAGTTGAGTAAGGGAACGGGGTCTCCGGGAGGAACCCAGGGCTCTGGGGTCGTCCGTCTGGATTCAGACCAGACCCCGTCATTTAGCAGAGTGCCACGGGCATGTGGGTGGTGCTCATTTCTGCTTCTGTGGATTTCCTCACCTCCTAGGTTGTAATAACTGTGGCCACAGATCAAAGCACCTGCACATATGAACTGCTCGTCCTCAGTGAGTGACCTGGGTCTGGGTGCTCCAGGCCCGGGGTGAAGCCACCAGCAGCTGCTTACCTCTAAGCTTCAATTTCCTGAACTTGAATGTCCCCCCTTGGTGGGTTGATCTTTGACTCTTTGATCAAGCAATTGATCTTTGATCAGCAATGAGCTTGAACCTGCTGCCAAGGGGCCCTCAGGGGCTGTCACCAGCCCAGAACGTGATCCTGGGGCTAATTCAAGAAGCTTAGAATTATCAGAACTGTCACCAGCTTTATTAATTACGACAGATTAGAAACCTCTGGGTTCCTACCCCAAGCCAAGGCTGAGCACCTGTCCTGATGGGGACAGTCTCATTTCCTGCCCCAAGGCCCCAGCCAGGATTGCTCCGGTTCTCTTCTGGCAACGTGGCCTCTGAGGGGCTGATCCTACCCCCGGGCAGTCACACAGGACATCACTGAGCTGGTGAACTGTAACCCCCACGCCCCCCTTCCCCGTGTGAGACTCCTCCCCGCCCCCTGGCTGGGCTGGCTTGGCTGTGGAACGAGAGGTATGCAGTGAAGCAAGACAGGCCCACGCTGAGCCTGGCACAGGCGGGTGTGGGGTAAAGCAGTCTGGGTGCCGACTGGGCCCTGACCTTCCACCTACAGCCGAGGTGTCCTGGCTTCCTCACCTCTCCCAAGACCCCTGCTACTCCATGCCAAATGCCCGTTTCCTTCCCTTTACCAGCCGCCGCTGCCCCTAAGGAGAAAGATGGGGGGGCGGGGAGGGGAGGATGCAGGAAGAGAGGGAAGGGCGGGGGTTTTGGAGGAAACTGAGTGGGGGCCCCCCTGGTATGGAAAACTCCACGTGCAGAGAGGCAGCTGAGTGGGTCAGAGGAGACCGGAGCCATAACTCCCAGCCTTCCCCTCAGCTGTGTCCTACCCGCCTCCAGCCGCTGCTTCCTCCCAGGATTCTGGGGTCACGTCCCCATGCTGTCCGCCACTGCTCAAGGACGTGGCTTTGGGGGAGGGGGAGGAAGGAAGGGTGTGGGGTCTGGGCAGCTCGGTGGACAAAGGAGAGCCCCACACCAGCCTAGAGGGCAGGGGCAGGAGAGCAGGAAAGGACCACATGTGACCCCCACCTCTGGGCCCAACAGAATCCACCCCTTCCTCAACGCGGACACAGTTCCCAAGACAAAGCCCAATTTTATTTACACTCATCCCAAAGCACAGGATTTGGGGCTAAAGGACAGGTCTCAGGGGAGAGGAGGCTGAGGACAGTGACGGACGGAGGAGAAGACAGGGAAAATGGACAGGCCCCTCTTCGAGTGTCCTCCACGGGCTCCCACATGTCCCCGGGCAGAGGCGGAGATGCAGTCTCGTTCAGGATTTGGACTTGGACACAGCAAATCCGATGAGTCCGGCCAGTCCCGCTACGCCCAGGGCCATGCCTCCAACGATGGCCATGCCCACTAGTCCGTCTGGGGAAAGGAAAAGGGAGACTGTCAGGAGCCCAGCCACACCCCCATAAGGACCCCAGCCCCCCATATCCTCCCTGCCCGCTGCTCATCAAGAGAAAGGGTGCTCTCTGCCTAGAGGCGTGCAGCGAGGGACTTTAAATGTGGACAGAGAGGGCCTCTGGGGCTTGAGGAGGAAATGCTTGGAGGGGGGTCATTTAAAGAGAGACCGGAGGGACCAGGCATGGGGGAAGGAAGAGGACTCAACAGAGTTGAGGGGACCTGGGGACAACGGGGGCCGGGAAGACAGGAGGGCGGGGAGTGGCGGGAGATAGGCGGGACGAGGCGCTCACCCTTCTTCATGGCCTTGTCAATGAGCCGCTCCAGTTCCTTGGCCTGGTTGTTCTGGGGCTCAGTCTGCAGCAGCCCTCGCACGTACTTCAGGGCCTTTTCATATTCCTGCACTCAGGGAAGACACAATCCCCCTCAGCATCCCATCCCCTGCCCAGGGAGGGGCCTCCCTCCCCCTCCCCCTCCCTCATCCAGCCCCACCCAACGGACTAGAGTCCACAAACAACGCCAACTGTGTGGGGGTGATAAGCTGGGGCAGATAACAACCCGAGGCTTGGGGCTGCACCCCAATCTTGACGTCACCTCGCTCCCCACACCCTCGGCGCCCTGATCCGAGGTCACTCACCTTCCCTCAGCGTCCTGACCTGCTCTCACCCCTCACCTCTGTACCCAGCACCGCCCCCTGCTCCTGCCCCCTTCAGCCTTCCTGGTGGCCAGGGCTCCACCCTGCGGGGAGGAGAGGGTCCTGTGGCCCAGCCAAGCAGGGGGAGAGGGAAGGAGGGAGCTCCCTGCCTACCTTGAGCCGGTAGTTGCCCACAGCCAGATAGAAGACATAGTCACGCTGCTCCTCTTTGCTCCCTTTGGGCAGCAGCTCTGGGGAGGGGAGGGCAGAGGGTGAAACGCTTCCCTACTCTCTAGTACTTGTGTCCCAGAGACCCCTGAATCCCTATGGGATCCTGGGAGAAAGTCCCTGGTTCAGCTCTGGGGCAGTGGGAACCCAGGGTGATGAACACCCCGGTATCAACACCACAGTCAACTCCGGTTCATGGCAGCGAACTGGAAGGAAATCAAGGGCTGGAGAAGCCAAAGGCATCTCTCCTCACTTGGGGCATCTGCCGCGTGTTTTCACTGCAGTTGCTTGCTGCCCAGAGAAGTGCTGAAAATGAGTTTGCTCTCCCTCCCTGTGCAAAAATCAGCTCAAAACTCACTTTCAGTTAGACTTCCCTGAATGGCCCCCCGACTCTTTCTTAACTCAGTGACTTCCCAGAGGCTTATGGGCTCAGTTGTAGCTTGTGCACTAAAAATTGATGCGAAGTGGTGTGGCAGGTGTTTACAAGTCTTCCTAAGTGTCCGTACGTCTCCTCAACTAGACTGGCCGCTTCGAGACCACTTCTACAGCTGTGCCGTGCTGCACAGGAAACTGGAAAAATCCAAATTGGCAAGATCGACTAATAGGGTGAGATTACTTGCATCAAGAAAGACTGTAATTCTTGGAGATTCACAATAGCCATCCTTTGCTAGGACACATTGTTGGCTCACACACGATTACCTGACCAAGAGAATGGAAGTACAGAGAATTTAAAGGTCAATTATTGTGGCCTCTGACAAACGGTGACCCATCCAAAACCAAGTGGAAACAGGATTTCAGTCAAAAAGGCAGCAGCAGCTCACAGTTTTGGGGACTGTCTTCTGCGCATCTTCCATGACGCCCCCACAAAAAGTTCTCAAAAACAGCTGCTGAATAAGCAACGTGGTGGGGGGCAAAGACCACGGGACCAAGACACCCAAGACAGGAGCTTCCAGTCCCAATCCACCCATTAATTAGCTAACTGTGTGGCCTGAGAAGTCACTTTCCTTATGGTTAGACCTACCAGATCACCAAAGTCCTGGGGGACTGACATGTGTGACTCTGGCAAAACAATGATGAGCTGGAAATGAGTGAAAAGCACCCCGGGAGAAGTCAGGCTGAGGACAGCCCCTCAGTGCAGCGAGTTTACTGGAAAATAACCGTGAGGTGACCGTACTATAGCGGCCCATGTTGACAAAGGGTCCCAGCACTGGAGTTGGAGGGAGTGAACGAGGCCCAATGGCAGTAGAAGACAGACCCCGATGGCAGTTGGGAAGGGGAGTGGGGGCAGCCTGGCACCTCACCCTCCAGCAGTGCAATGCCTTTACGGATGTCATCGTTGTACTTGCTTCGCACCAGGCACCAGGCATACTCAAACTGCGTGCTCTTGGACACCGGGCCTGCTGCCTTCTCGGACTGAAATTTCTTTTCAAACTTCTGCCATAGGAGAGGAGAGGAGTCATTTAGCAACGAAGGGGATGAACCTTTCGCTATCAGGACCCGGGTGTCCATTTCCCGGTTACACTCCATCTTCCCCAGCCTCCGCCACACTCCCCTCGCGGGTTTTGGTACCTGGCATCCCAGGTTCTGCTCTCTCCATCCCTCGGACCCAGCACTCTGCTTCTTATTGGCGGGCTGTCTCATAGGACGGTCCCCCCTCCACTCCCCTCCCCCCCGGTGGTACCGAGCGGAGATGCCATCTGGTGGCGGTTCCAGGCACCGCTCCTGGAGCAGCTGGCCCCGAGCGGCCGAGTAAACACGCTGTCAGAACTGCTCAACAACAGCCTACGCGGTCCCTCGACGGAGCCTGCTTCCCCTATCCCGCCCCACCCTACCGGGTCTGGACCTTTTCTTATCTGCAAAATAATAGTACCTACCTCCTAAAGCTGCAAAGATTGAGATACCGCCTGCAATGCACTTAGCACCGTGCCGGAATCAGTGAATAACATATGAAATTTTACCATGATCCCACTCAAAAATGGGTGTCCGCACCCTGACCTCCTAACTCCTGCCCGCAACCCGAACCCGCCAGTTTTCCACGCCAGACTCCAGGCCCTGAGTCCAAGACGGGGTGGTGGAGGAAACTACAACTCCCATTAGCCTCTGGGGCAAAGCGGCACCCCTGGGCAGGAGCCGGACGCTGCAGAGGCTGCCGGGAGCCGTAGTTCGGCTTCCCTAGGCAAAGCAGATGCTTGAAGAGGGTTTGGTCCCTACTCGACTCTCCTCAGGACCCGCCCTCTGAGTCGTCCCTTCCCCTCCCCCGGGGCTAGGCCTCACCAGCAGGTCGTCCACAGACACCACCTCGTTCAGCACGGCCTCCATGGCCGCCGCCCCGCAATCTTCACACCTCAGGTGCTACTGTGCCACCGCCTCCATGGCCCACTGGCAGGGCGGAGAGCTACTTCCGGCCTCTACAGGAAGCGAGCCCCCTCCCCTACGCAGAGCCAATCGTCTCTCGCAGCAGACGCCGAGCCCGCCCCCCCGCCGGGCCAGTGGCGCCCCGCCCTCCCTCCCCGGGAAGTCGGCGCGCACTTGGGGCACCAGTGCGCACGCTCAGACCGGTCGCCCTCTCACCCTCAGGGTGCCCTGCGTGTGCCTCCTTGCACGGAGGCTGCTCCAGGAAAGTCTGAGTCTGTGTCTTGGCGGCTGGGCCCCCAGAGTGCAAACAGTGGAAACAGGAGTGAGGAGAACCGAGCATGGATCACACAATTTTAGGGACTAGTCGAAACTTACCCCCACCCCCAGCTCTCCCATCCCTGAAATATAGAACTCTGGAGGCTACATGACTTTCCAGCGCCTGCAAGAAAATCCTAACCCGTGCCAGAGTCTCCAGGGCCCCTGCTGACTCTTCCAATGCAAGAGGCTAGAAAGCTGGATCTGTTACCCATACGCCCAGAGACCAGAGTACATCATAACGGGATACTGTTAATGAGAATTTAAAGAAAAGCTGTTGCCGTTACCTGCAGAGAGGGTCCAATCTTTTAAATAGTATTTAGATAAAGCATCCTCTGGGTGTACCCGAGGGAGAAGCCTGCGCTGCGGGGTCACGGGTAAAGAGGAACTTGGCAGCAATGTTGCCGGTTCCTCAGGCAGCTGCGTTCTGTGAGGTCGTGGGACTGTGTAGGTAGTGACTTCTTCCCTTGACCCACAGTGCTCCAGTACACGTTAGGATATAAGTTCCATGAGGGCACAGACTGTATCTTGTTGTCCTTGCATCTCCAGCTCCTAACGCAAGGTGAATGTTTAATATGTATTTGTTGAACAAACACAAAGCCAACAACAGTAAGGAAGGCAGTGCAGATGCAGACGATTATCATCCGAACACCTTTCACGGCTGCAAAGCCCTGTGAATTAT